GCAAACTGTTTTCCACAGTGGCTGAACCATTTTACAGTCCTGCCAACAGTGTATGCTAGCAATTTTTCCTCATCCTTGACAACACTTGTTTTTTTTGTTTTTGACAACACTTGTTACTACCTGTCTTTTTGATTACTGCCAACACTAGAGTCTAGTGTTATCTCACTAGATTTGGTTTTGATTTGCATTTCCCTAATGACTAATGATGTTGAGCATCTTCTCATGTGCTTATTGACCATTTGTATATTGTCTTTGGAAAAATGTCTATTCGACTCCTTTGCCCACTTTTTTATTTGGGTTATTTGTCTTTTTGTTATTGAGTTGTAGGAGTTCTTTATGTAAAACCCTTATCAGATATATATTTTGTAGGTATTTTCTCTCATTCTTTAGGTTGTCTTTTTACTTTATTGATAATGTCCTTTGATGCACAAAAGTTTTTAATTTTAATGAAGTTCAATTTCTCTAATTTTTCTTCTGTTGCTCATGCTTTTGGTGTCATATCTAAGAACATGTTGCTAAATCCAAGTTCACAAATATTTACCTCATGTTTTCTTCTAAGAGCTTTATGGTTTTAGCTCTTATATTTAGGTTTTGGTCCATTTTTAGTTAATTCTTGTACCTGATAGCTTTTCACAACTATTAAAACAAGTGCATCCCATGTATAAAAAAGAATATTTTAAGGAAATTCATGACAAGTCATGCCCTTGGCATTAGAGAAATAATTCTTAGAAACTTACAATGGTTGTTTTTGGTTTACCCTTGGCCATTGTCCTTTCCTTAAATTTTCTTATCTACACAGCTTAGCTATATTCCATGTTTCCTCCTGTGTAAACATGGGCAGTATGTACACATATGGGCATGGTAATAGTGATGGTGCAGCAGACCCAGGGCAAAAGAGCAAGTGAATGCTTCCTTTGAAAGAATAAGAAGGGGCATGAGTAAAGCATAGACACACACATAAGAGGAGAAGGGCTTTCTGAGGCTAACTATGGAGCAGGATTAAAACACCCTCATGTAGCTCAGAGGGTATTTTTAATTTTTATTGATAACTAGTAGCTAGATTAATGGTTCACAGCCCTGATCAAATATTTAGAATCACCAGGTGGGCTTTCTAAAAATATCAAGGTGCAAGTGACATCCTAAAGATTCTGATTTAGTTGATCTGCATGGGATCCAGGCATCAGTATTTTTTAAGAGCTCCCTTGGTTATTCTAATGTGCAGCCAATAATTGCCCAGCAATGCAACAGTTACACAACTTAGTCTTCTAATCATTCAGAGGATTTGATTACTAAGGATAGGGTCACAGCAGGCTTCATGAGAGGGTGACCTTTTACAGAGTGAGATTTCAGGGTCCCCAAGTGTGTCTCCCCACCCACAGTGCTCTCCCCTGCATATTAATGGCTAAAATCCCACCATTGGAGTCTCATTCCTTTGCCTTAACGCTTTCCATTTCGTTTTTTAAGGGAAATATTTCTGAGATGGCCTCATCTGTCACCTACACTTTGGGATAAGTGGGTTTATCAGATCATTAGAAAAGGTGGGAATAGGAGGGTTAATAGTTGAGAGGAGTGGAAAGCCCAGTGGGCATAGTTCTGACTAACAAAAAAAAAGCTACAGAAGGAGAACTGGGAGAGAGCAACGACAGACGTTACTCACTTCAGAATTATGAATGAGCGTCACTGTATTATGTTCCACTAAACTCTGCTTCTTGTTTGTCAACTTCCTAGGACAAATTTTCATTGGTTATTTCTAAGAAAAAAATCCCACTTGGTTGACTCTTCACCTTTAAGAGTTTCAAAACTGAGATACCAGAAGTTAAGTGTCTTTTCTCACTTCTCATAAATTATTTTCCCCATGTTTGATGATGTAAAAGAGGTTTGACCAGGGATTGCCCCAGGAAGAGTGAGTCATCTAAGCTACTTGTCACAGCAGAGTTGTATGTAAGAGGAAGAAATTCTCTGTGTATATTAGATTAACTCTTGTGCTTCTACTTATACATTTTTATTCGGGGACCTGGATTTAGTGCTGCTGGCTGCTTTGCACCATCTAATTTTGGATTAGCCAATATTTGGTTTCATGCACGACACAGTTTTTCCTTAAAAAAAAAAAAACACTCTCTCCTCTTTTAAATTATTGAAATTCTTAGCACTTTATTCATTCATTGATTTAACTATGCTGGATATTGGCAACTCAATGGTGAGGAAAACAAATATAATCCCTTCTCTTTGAGAGCTTACAGACTAGAGGGGGAGAAAACATTAGCAAATCAATCAGGAAAATAACTCTAATTTACAACTGTGACACAAGCGATGGAGAGTTACACAGTTCCATAAAAGTATATAACAGGAGGACCTGACTGAGGTGGTCAGAAGGACAGGAAACATTAAAAGTAGGGGAAACTACATGTACTAAGCACCTGTGGTGAGAAGGAATGTGACATATTGAAGAAAGTAAAAGAAGCATAGAGAACTAGAATGTAGAAAGTGAGACAAAAGAAGTAGGCAAGGGCGATTATTGTGTTAAGAGTTTCTGGTTTTTATCCTAAGAGCAATAGGAAACCCTGAAGGGTTTTAACTAAAGAGGGATATGATCATCAGGGTTGAGTTTTGAAAAGAATCATTCAGGCTGCAGTACCAAAGATAGACTGGAGGAAGGCGAGGTTGAGGAAAGTAAGAGCAGTGAGAAAGATATTGCAATAGTCCAAGCAAGAGATAAGTCCTTTGGGCTAAGATGATGGTGGCAGAGACTGTGGGGTGGTGGGAATAGGGAGAGTGGTGAAGGTCTCAGAAATGAGATGTCCAAATGGTAGGACCGAAGGGGTGATGAAGGTGACTGAAGGGTGAGAAGATGCTCAGGTTTCAGATTTAGGTAAATGCATGACTGACTATGCCATTCAATGTCAGTAAGAACACTGAAAAAGGACCAAATTTGGGAGGAAGATCATGAATTCCATTTTCAAGTATTGAACTGGAAATGACTTTGAGACAAAAGAGTTTTATATTCAAAACTCCTTTGGAATACAGTAAGGTATCCTTAATTCACAGTAATATCAGAGATGCATTAAACTTGATCACATTTTGCAAATCAGTAAGTAAATAAACAATTTCAAATTGAGGGTGTTGTACTCCATCTTGCTACTTTGCTTTAATTATTGACACAATTTCAAAGTGTGTTAGTAAACATGTTATATTTTTAGAAACAATGAAGTTGTGGCAATGGGGGTCTACACTCCCATACTCAAGCTGGTAAATCCTGGCTGAGGCAAACAGGGTGGGGGGTGGGGGCTGGGTGGGAAGCAGGGGGTATGTGTGTGTGTTTTCTGGAGAGATTTATTGAGCTAAATGAAACAGTGAGGTTCATTGGTATTTATGAATGGTTCATTAGTGCAACTATCTGAACACAAGGTGAATTCGCATTAAATGATAAGACTTCCTAATAATTAGTATGCGCCACTCTTTGGAATTTGTAATTAGAGGAAAGAGGCAGAATGAAAGGAAATTGATAAAAGGGTAGTTGTTATAAAATTAAAACCCTTTAAAGCCAATTCCATTTCTTTGTGAAGCAAATAAGGTAAAGGGGATCAGAAGAAGAGAAAATGTGCTTCCTCTCTTAGTTGGCAACTCAAATTCAGGCTAGATCAGAGTTTCTGGTTTTTATCCTAAGAACAGTGGAAAATCCCTGAAGGGTGACATGTTCAGAATTGGTTTCTGAAAAGAATTACCTGAGCAGTACTGACATCAGGGGCTGGATAATTCCTTGTTGTGAGGGACTGACCGGTGCATTATAGAATGTTTAGCAGCATCTCTGGTCTCAACTCGCTAGCTGCCAATAGCAGTCACCACCCCCTCCCACCTTGAACTGTGACAACCAAAATGTCTCTAGACATTATGAAGATATCACCTGAGGAGCAAAATGGCCTTGTTTGAGAACCACTGGACTAAATCTAGAATCCTGAGAATGTCATTTGACAATCATTTCAGGGTCTATTGGCTTTTACTTTGTTGCCTAAATATTTACTGAGGACCTTGTTTGTTTTGCTGTTCAGAGAGGAGCAACACTTAGTCCCTCTGCTTTGTAAGGCGTCTATGACGGTAGGGAAGGGATGGGGGACTGATAAACTTAGAAATTAAAGAAGGATGCAGAAGGATGCGCTCTCACGTGGCATGGAGGTTGCCACATTAGCCTAGAATAATCTTGTAGCTGGGATTTTCTCAGTGGCAGACCTCAAGATCACACCTATCAATGACCAGGGTTGGCTATGTTCATTAATGAGAGAATAATCCACATGGAATATTTTTGGCATAAAGTCTCTCCTGACTTCTCTGGAACTTTGCCTGATCTGTTGCAGCCTTTCTCTTCTATCTTTCCCTCTCCCCTGACTCCATATAGCCCAACCAACATGATTAAATTTCACTGAGCTTGGTGAGGGGGTGATTTTCTTCAACTTGCCTGATCTGCCTAGCAGTTACCATTCCATATTTCACATCCCATAATAAGTAACCCCTGCCACGCCATAGACATGATTCTCTCTCGAGTGAAAATCAACTCTCACTGCCAACCCCACAGCCTTCTTTCTGAGTTCCTTTTGACCTTGTTGGCATCCCTCCCCTTTGTTTCTCCTTCCTAGGTTTCCTTGGTCCTCCCTTGCTTTTCTTCCCACGGGGCTCATTTTTTTCTTTTCGGCCTCTTCCTCATTGACTTTTGGACCACATGGCTGACTCCAAGTATTTAGTGAATTTAAATACCTGATATGGTTTGATTCCTCAATATTCCTCTCTCACTTAAAGTGAGGAAGCGTATTTGTAAATAAAATGGAACAAATCTATTAACTAACACCAAAAGAAATATTTTCAAGATTAAATCCTCCACTGTAAACTCTGCAGTCAGGCTGGCTCCTTTTTAAAAGGAATGCTATTTTTCCTCAAGCTGAAGACATCGTTCTGACATCCTGCATCCTCTGTTCCCACCCGATGCAAATGTACAAAAGGCACTGACTCACCCTGAAAGCTGGTCCTCTTTGTTTTTCTTTCACACCTCTGGAGCAGCTGGGGGGGAAAAAAAAAAAAGAGTCATTTCTGTGCAAGAAAATTATAAAAAATTTTCAAAGCTGGTCCTCAGTATCTTTAGGAAACTTTTAATTCATTTAGGAAAATATGGAAATGAATGCTTTTTTGGACATTTTTATAGTGCCTTTTGATGAAAATCCCCAAGGACCCAAGCGATTGGAAGAACTGGACATCTGCTCAAGATTTTTGTGTTGAAGAAGGGGGGACACTTGTCGCCATTGAAAATGAGGTGGAACAAGGTAGAGTACTCAATGTTCAATCAGGCAAAAATCACCATTTTTATTCAAGCGTCTGTTAAAATAGTCCTCCAAAATACTAACATTTCCAAATCAACATTTTAAGTGTTATATTGCTGGTGACACGTAAGTTTTCAGTCTGACCTATAAGGTTTATATCATGACATCTGTAAAAGTTAGTACACTCCATTGTTTACAAACTGCTGATTTTGGGGAGCCTTTTGTCTCACCAGGCGTGGTGGAAAGAATAAGGATATATTTATGATCGGCATTTCAAAATGGCTAAAATAATCTGAGGTATAGTCGATTATAATTGCATGGTATAATTTTTTAGATCCCTTTAGACTTACCTACACACTTTCATTTGCTATTTAGGCAATAATCGTATACTTTAGTTAAGTATAATGGATAAACCCTCTTTTGTTTAGAAAGGCATTGAATGAACACTGGAAATTGTTTTACTAATGATATGATGAAATCCCAGGCTTAGCCAGCTAATTGCTGTCAATTTAAACTGAACAAAAGTGACAGAGACGGCATCATCTTAATAAGGACAAAGTAACAAATTCCTACAGTTGATTCGTAATTAAGTTTTGCTATCATTTAAATAAAATCATAGCTATAAACAGAATTTGATGATTACCCAAATGGTTTATATGGTATTAAATTTGATAATGTATTCTTATTTTTCAGCTTTCATTACTATGAATCTTTTTGGCCACACCACTAATGTGTGGATAGGGTTACAAAATGATGATTACGAAAAATGGCTAAATGGAAGGCCCGTGTCATATTCTAATTGGTCCCCATTTGATATAGTAAATGTAAGTTTTAAGATTTATTTTTTAGAAATCATTTTAGCAAGAGATCCTATTTGAGACTTGTTTACTGAAGTTTTTCTTTTTTTACTTCCTATATTTCGTAGGCATAAATTTTTATTAGTTGGTTGTTAATATATTAATTTTTAATAATGTAATTTCATATAATTGTCATGTGTTCCATGAATATAATTTCTTTACTCATCACAATAATTATTTATTTTGTGGGTTATGAACTGATTTGTGAACAGGTTTATTAAATGCAAATAAAGGAATAACAGTGTTTGAATTTTTAAAATTATGTCCTTAATAAAAATATCAACGTTATAATAACGTTATATGTTACCATTTTTAAAAAAAACATGTATTCTTTTGAAGATTCCAAGTCATAACACCACCGAAGTTCAAAAACGCATTCCTCTCTGTGCCTTGCTGTCAAATAATCCTAATTTTCACTTCACTGGAAAATGGTATTTTGAAGACTGTAGAGAAGAAGGCTATGGGTTTGTTTGTGAAAAAATGCAGGGTAAGAAATATTTGTTTTTTTATTCCTTTCATTTCCATGGCCCACTCTTCTCTTCCACATTTGTTTTACACACTGTATAAATGATAGTTTCATAGCTAAGTGCCAGCACTTATTTTTTAAGCTTTACATATATATGGTCACTTAATCTCCACTACCTCAGGGTTGTGCCCCCTAGTGGGGTTCTAAGGACTCCAGAGACCACTTGAGTGACGACCAAGTTTATGCATCCATCTTGGTCATATTAAAAGGCTTTACTGCTTGTTCTAGGATTATGTGTCTGTTCAGATATTTTAAAAAAGACACTGAAAATATGTTGGAAGAGAGTCAAGGAAATAAACCAACTCAATACTTACTCCTTTCTTGGAACCCTAAAATGGTCTCTGTGGCTAAATATGGCAAACAGCACGTTTCTAGATATCAGAACCCCCAACGACTTCTGGTATGAAATACCAAAGCTATAGTATTACAGGTAGCCAGTGGGGGCATGAACAATGTGAATGCACTGTAAGTGACCTTGAGTAACAAAAATAAAAACAACAACAACAACAGCTCACATCTCATGCCTTTACTGAGTCACAGGCTTCCCTAGAAGGCCATAATTTGTGTCTGGAGCTGTGTGGAATTCCAGGCAGCCTAGGCTACCTATGCTTACTTGGAATATGAATTATACCTCTCAGTGTTGCATACATGTGAACTCTTTGATGATACTAAGTATCAACCCATCCTCAGAAAAGCCGTTCCAGAGAAATCCTCTTTCCTAGTTCACAGTTATCACTTTAGCATGGTAGTGGTCAGGAACTGAAAGATACCAGATCAGCTATAGCAAGAGTATTATAAGAAGAGCAGAGTCTCGTCAGAAAAGAAATAACATCAATACGTCACTACTTGTACACTTATGATGCGCCTGGCACTGTGCCTTGCTTTTTATAAGTATTGTGTCATAAAGTCCTCCCGACACTTCTATGAAGTAGGTAAAAGTCTCCGCATTTTACAGATGAGGAACTTGAGGCTTAGGAAAAATAAGTAACATACTCAAGTTCTCTCAAATACAATGATTCTATTCTAGGACCTTGATGTTGATCTCTTCTTGAAATGTACTCTCTGACCACTTTCTCTCTTTGATATTTTTGGGACTAACAATGTTTATGTTCTTTTGGAGATAGTATAGAGCAGTGGTGGTGGAGTTCAAATCCCACCTGGGTTCCTATTCCACCTCTATAAATAAACTGTCAGTCAAGTTTCTTATCTTCTCTGAACCTTGATTTCTGCATCTGTAAAATGGAATAATAACTATCTCACAGACTCTACATATATACAATGCTTAGCAAGTTCCTAGCATGTGTTTAACAAACAGTTGTTGCTTTTGTTATTATTGTTTCTATTATATTGTTATTCAACTACACAAGTTCTTGTAGTCTACAGTGAATATCCAAATTCTGACTCCTCTTCTTTGTGTGCCATGTGAGTATGTGTTTACATTGGGTTTCGAACCTAAAGTCTTTGATCTGCCTGAAAGAATAAAGATATCTGAATAAAAAGAGAGACAAGGGCAAAGTCAAGACCCCCAATTTTGAACTTGGTTTCCAGTGGATCTTTCTCAGGGCAGCAGATGGCAAAATCATAGTGCTCAAAATCACTTATGTTTTGAAACTTGATGAAATCAATAACATAGGGAGAAACTCATATATGTGAAAATACAGGGGCATGTCTTAGTGGGGAAAACCAGTTAAATTGGTATTTGGGTCACACATACAAAGAATTTCAGTTACTTTAATTTTAATAATTGTTATCATTTTTAAATGGCTACTTTGGTATTATGTTGGTTTTGTATAAATAACATTTAGTCTTGGTACATCAGCTGGCAAACAGACTTCTACAAAGAAAAACAGATGATGAAAGTGTGGTCCATCAAAATTTAATTGGTGAATAGATTAATTTTACTTTGGTTTTACAATATGTACTACTGCTATACTGAGGTAACAGTTTCAGGAAAAGTCAAAGCCTCACCCTGCCATTTTTATTTGGGAGAGTGTGACAAGAAGAGGAGAGGAGAGCAAGAAGCAGCATTTATTGAGTGCCTGCTGTGTTCCACATCCTACAGTAGGTGCTCTATGTACATATCTCCTTGAATTTTACCCACACGCCTCTAACGAAGGCTTTAGTAATCTCTTACAGAGCAGAAATTTAAAGTTTAGAGAGATTAACTAATTTGGCCATTTAGGGTCAGGACTGCGATCGAGTCCCAGGTCTTTGGACCTATCCACCATGCTCCTTTTCAACCCCAAACGTGATAAAAACCAGTATACAGAGAGAAATCCCAGCCACCTTGGATCAGACAGTTGAGAAATGCTTACCTTTTTTGTGTGTTATAGGATGCCTAAACTCGGCCTAAAGATAGTACAGAACAAAAAGGCAAATGTACTTAGTAAAGAGGAAACATCTCTATGTAACACATGAGCTTGGTTCTCACTTGATCACAGCCACTCATTTATACAAAGCACCAATGATCATGTGTGGGAAAACCTTGTCTTTTAATTTATAAATCTTGACTCTGATAGGTGACATATTAATAGTAATGGTTTCTAAGAACTGTATGTATTTCTAAGCATTAACTTATTTTTTAACTTCTCTTTAGAAATTATACATGTTAGCATTAAACATGATAGCAACTATCATACAGTCCCAAAAGTTTAATAAAGTATTATATTTGAGAATATGCACTTGTAAATTGTGTTTGCAAAGCAGTGTTTGACTACATTATATATGTTAATATTCTGTTAGTAAGTATTAAGTTCTGCCAGCGGCATGCGTTAGGCTGAGTGTACCTAGTAGAAGTAAGCTTGCCTAAGGAGATCCTATCAGTTCCACCAAAAAGTGGTCAGTTTGACAAGGGATTGTCAAAACTGGGAAATCTAGAAATGATTCAATATATGTTTATATATATTTAAAACTCATTCATTAAATTTCCTAAGTGTTTTCATTCTTTAGTATCACCTATGCTTACAGGTATTGTCTTCAGTTTGAAATAGTCAATTCTGGGAAGAAAAACTCTGATGTTAACGACAGCATGGATCATTGTACAGGGATCCATGCTAAGCTTTGCCGCCCCCTTCTCATCCAGGTTCTACAAATAATTTTTATTGTTCTTTTTCTAGATACTTCTGGACACAGTATAAATACATCTGATATGTACCCAATCCCCAATACCTTAGAATACGGAAACAGAACTTACAAAATAATTAATGCAAATATGACTTGGTATACAGCACTAAAAACCTGCCTGATGCACGGAGCAGAGCTGGTCAGCATTACAGACCAGTACCACCAGTCTTTCCTCACTGTTATCCTCAACCGGCTAGGACATGCCCACTGGATTGGACTGTTCACTGAAGATGTAGGTGTCCTAAAATCCCTTGGACAATCCTTGCATAATTAAGTTTCATATCTACATCCTTAGTGATATAGCCACTGAAATCAGCACAGAAAAAAAAAAAGCCA